ACTAAATAATCAAAATATTATAAAAAATCTAGAATATTTTTTAAAATAAAAAAATAAACAAATATATAATAATATTACTTTCTCAATGACTTTTTGAACAATTCCTTGATTTTGTTTTAATGCGTATTTTCCTTTTTGACAGCATGCATTTAATCGATCACGAAGATTTCTCTGTAAATTTATTAAAGTTTATAAGAATAAATAAATAAGTAAATAAATACTAATGTAAATATAAAATTAAAAATTAATAAAAATATTTACTACTTACTCGATAAGACCAATATGTATCATACGGCAAGTTAAGAAAATCTTTCCAATTTTTGCCTTCTTTATTTTTTTTCCATCGTCTCCATTCCTCTTTGGTGATTGGGTTTTGAGCGGACCTACGTGGGAACTAAATTATTTAAAATTAGTATTATTATATAAATTATTTAGTATATGAATAAATACTTGCTGCTGTATTAACAATTCCTATAATAGCATTAGATGATGCTGGCAGTGTAGATTCAGGCGTAGATGAACTTTCTTGATTTTGTGTAATAGTTGTAAGCGCTTGTTGTAAAGCACTTGGATTTGTTAATAATTGGAGTAATAAAGCAGCGTTGTCCATTTTCTGTAAAAGTTATCGTGTATTAACAAATTTTCTTTTAAAAAAAGACCTTCGATAAATATAGATTTGAAAGTTTAGAAAAAATAAAAACAGACCTTATTAAATACATATTATATCAATCATTTAATCATTTATTATCGTATAGCTTAAGAGTCTAATTAATATATTAATTAATTAATTAATTAATTAATATATTTGACTATAATAATATAAAAATCACCTGATTGACCAAGATACATATGCATAAAGAATCAACATTAATATGTAAATTGTTATTGTATATATGTATGTAAAAAGGCGGTGATGATGTCATTGCTGTAGCATGTGGTTTTGCGTCATAGGAAGCTATATACTTTAAAATAAAGAATATATTTAATACGTATATATATTGTTTGATAAAAATCTCGATATAATAAAAATAAAAATACATACTGCGGCAGTGATATCAATTATTAACCTGGGGCCACCCTGGTGAACTCTTTAAAAGTGAGATAAAATTATATTGAATAACGATAATTAATATAATTGGGTTAATTATAATAATCAACTTAAATTATTATAAAAACAGTTCTAATCAAATAACTTACCAAATTTACTTATAAATTTATATGTTATCTATATCATCTTGTAATTATTGATAAAATATGTAGATTATAAATGCTATTAATAATTGTTTAGCATTCTACGAATTCGTATTTATACATTTAAAAAAAAAAAAAAATTAAAATTAAAAAAGAAAGAAATTAAAAAGCCATAACGATAAAATTTGTAGATTATAAATACCATTGATATTTAAGTTTAGCAGTCTACGAATTCGTATTTATGTATTAAAAAAAAAAAAAAAAATTTAAATTAAAAAGAAAGGAATTAAAAAGCCATAACGATAAAATTTGTAGATTATAAATACCATTAATAATTAAGCTTAGCAGTCTACGAATTCGTATTTTTGCTATTAAAAAAAAAAAATTAAAATTAAAATTAAAAAAGAAAGAAATTAAAAAGCCATATCGATAAAATTTGTAGATTATAAATACCATTAATAATTAAGCTTAGCAGTCTACGAATTCGTATTTATGCATTTAAAAAAAAAAAAAATTAAAATTAAAAAGAAAGAAATTAAGAAGCCATAATAATAAAATTTGTAGATTATAAATACCATTAATAATTAAGCTTAGCAGTCTACGAATTCGTATTTTTGCTATTAAAAAAAAATAAATAAAATAAGAAGCTATAGTGATAATGATAATTAGAAAATAAAAAATAAAAATCTATTTATATCAGTATACCTGCATGCTGAAAATCGATCGATATAAGTATAACAAGCTTAAATCAATATATATATACTTGCATATATAGAAATTGACTTGGAAAATACGCGGCTTTAGTATCTATGACATTACAGTGTAAAGTGAAAAATGGGCCTAGGTCATCATTGAGATAGCTCAGGTCGATTCGCTCAAATAGGTTAAATCTCAAATATGCTATATAGCAAAATAATAGATATCAGATATAATATAGATACAGTATACATATTAGTAAAATTAGATATGTAGTAACGAAATATGCATAAAGACATAATATTTTACCTTGAATAAAGAAATAATGAAGAGTTTGACACTTGAAGAGTTTGAAACTTGACAAGTCCTAATTTAAGTATTTCTTGACAATACATAGTCTAGAGCATTAAGACTAATTATGCGGTAGTAGTAGTGTTAGCTGCTAGCCGTTATTAGTGTAACCATTATAGCACCGGAACCAGGTTTCACAATTATAATGTATGAATACCTAATATTTTTAGTATGTTGTACACATATAGTAAATCAATAGCTAATACGAAGTAAAGGGAGGAAAAATAAGAACTAAAAAAAATAAATTAAATTAAATTAAATTAAAAGAAATAAAAGAAAGAAATATTAGATTTATCGAACTACGAACTCGTAACTTGCTAAATTTAAATCCAAAATAAAAGTATAGAAAGCAGCAAATATGAAATAAAGGAAGGAAAATAAGATAAAACTAAAAAAAAAAAGAGAGAAAGAAAGAAAAAAATAATAAATATTAGATTTAGTGAATTACGAATTCGTAATTCGCTAAATTTAAATCCAAAATAAAAGTATAGAAAGCAACAAATAGAAATAAAGGAAGGAAAATAAGATAACTAAAAAAAAGAGAGAAAGAAAGAAAAAAGAAGAAATATTAGATTTAGCAAACTACGAATTCGTAATTCGCTAAATCTAAATCCAAAATGAAAAGGAAAGTTCAAATAGGAAAAAATAAAAAACTTCTAAAGGTTGACCTTCGAAAGAGAAAGAGTAGTGACGTTAAAATCAGAAATTTCTTTTATATCAAAATAATTTACTGATTAACTATATGATTATGTCATTATGATTTGTCACATGCACATGTTTAAAAAAATCACTTGGCAGTTAAAAGTAAATTTCTAAATACGTTGTAGTAGTGGTTAAATCTATATTTGGAATCAACCTGATAAAATCTGGTCCATGCATGTAAATAATCGATTTTGTATCAAATATACGTACCGGTACATATCGATATAGCAGATATATATATATGTACTTTTTTTTAATTTATTTATTTATTTTCGTTATTTTTTTTAGTGAAAATTAATTTAATTTGATTTTTTTTTTTTTTTTTAGGCTAAAATTAAGTTTAATAATTATTTTGATATTATTATAAAAAAAAAAAACATGCCTAAGTCAATTGATTTCAAAAATGAGAATTGTGCTTATATAAATTCAAGGTGAAGGCGATAATTGATACCGTAGATGGAGTATTTAATCGACAGATGCAGTATTCAATTGATAGATGGAGCATCAATTGATGGATGGAATTCTGTAACGTAAAAATATTAAAAATAGATCGTAATCAAAATCAAAGAGAATAATATCTTTAAAGGACGTAACAGATAGAGTGGATGGTTACGACTCCTATGTGCGAGGTGGGGCACATTAGAACCCTTTTGAGACTTTAATTTAATCTAGCATCCAACTGGCATAACAGTATTATGGTGTACGAAAGATTAAAACTTGCCAGAATAAGATATATAAAATTAAGAAAGCTTTCTAGCACTATTGCATTCAAAACTTTTGGCAGATTCCAAGAAAAATTCTCAGAATTTTTTGAATGAGATAATTAAATCATTGTATGGTTATTAAACATATTGAATTAATTCATTTCTATAAATTTACAAAGTTTGACAATCATGCAAAGTGTAGGTTATATGGTATAAGTAGTGATGTGCCATGTACTATACTATACGTACTGTACTGTACGTACTGTACGTACTGTACGCTAAAATTTTGACAGTCATTTTATAAGTTCTGAAGT